AGTACCATGCCTAGCTTAAAATCATTTTCTAAGAAGCTATATCCGTTTGGTACAATAAAATACCAAGATAAGGGGAACTGAGTAAAACTCCTACACATAATCACATTTTGCTTCCCTGCATATCGAGTAAGTTTCATTTTCTGCACTTAGGATTTCAGGAATCTGAATATGTAAACTCAGGGATATAAGGTAGCCAATTTTCTCAATCTTGGCACTTCACCGTTCTACCCGACCTCTGAATTTAGGCTTCCTCAAAATTTTTCCTCCTATCTCATGGCAAATGGTAGCCAACTGATTTATCTGCTTCACTATGATCCCCTAAGTCTATCTGTGAATTCAGCAGTGTTCTTCTGACCGTCATTTTGAGAGTCAGTGAAAAAGACAAAAGCACCCGTGATACCAGGCAGTTGGGTCTTATACTATCAGGTAGGCCTTGGTGTCCTTGTAAAAATACATAGGTTCACTAAACATCACCCTCAGACAAGGCCACTCTCCTGTCTCTTCTTTTGCTTTCTGCGATGAGGAAACTGAACCCAGATTTATGCAGGCTAGGCGAGTGCTCTACCACTGAGGTACACTCCAACCCCCACACCAAGCCACTCTATAATCATATCTAAGCAGAGACCAAAACAGGAACATTAACCCAGGTGTGTTGGTGCATGCCTGTAACCCTAACACCTGGGAGGCTGAGGCCATCCTGGGCTACACAGTGAGTTCTAGGCCAGCCTGAACTACACTGTGAAATTCTGCCTCAAAAAAACCAATCAACTAAACAAACAAACAAAGGCACATTTTCTAAAATGCAAAACACCAAGCATCCTCTTAACTAGGCTACGTCACTATCAATTAAGAGTTTTAACCTCCTTCTAGACAAGATTAAATACACAAATGGTGAATTTCTCTTCACCTCCTCATAGTGTCCTCCAGAGCAAACAGCCCTATTCCTCTCAGATTACCCCACTCCTGACACAAACCCCAGTCTTCTAGGTTCTAATACTCTTAGTATTTTTTGAGACAGGGACTCACTATGTAGCTCAAATTGGCCTTGAACTTGCTATGTAGACCAGACTGGCTTCAAACTCACTGTGATCCTCCTGCCTCAGCCTTCGAAGTGCTGGGATTACAGGCAGGTGCTACCATGCCCGGCACATGAGAATCAGTGGGGGTTTTTTTTGTCTTTTTTTCCTTTTTATTGGTACCGGGGATCGAACTCACGACTGCCTACTTGCAAGGCAGGCACTTATACCGCTGAACTAAATCCCCAGCCCTGAGAATCAGTTTTGACGAACTCTTCATCCTGTGGTGACATATAAATCTGAACATTTCTTTTTTAACCTCAACTTGTGAGAATGGAAAATCTGAACATTTCAATCACATCCAGAATCCGCCTCTAAGATGTCTTACATCTGTCTCCTACTCATCCCCTCCCTGCAACTTTCCAGATTCAGATCTTCATTACCTCTCGTGTCCATGACACTAGCCTCCTACAAATGTTCTTTTGCTCATTGAGCAATAAAAACCCTTGAGTTACTGTCCCCTGATCCCTCACAGTGTAAAAGTCAGCTACACTTTCAAGGCTTCCACAATCTGTGCCCTTCTAACTCTTTCAGAAGCTTGTCATAGTAGAATCTCATCATTCTTCACAAACGGTCCATACTTTTTACTAGACACACAAAATACCACTATTCCCATTTAATCCTAAGGCACAGACAAGGGAACATTTGCCAAATATCACAAAGCTCAGAGAAAAGCTTCCTTGCTTTGCTTCCCCAGCTAAGCAAAGAGAACTAACTACAAAAAGAAAACAACTTTTCCCCTAACCTCCAAACATTTTATGTCACCAGGATGCAGGAATACAGAGGTGGGTATTATGAGTAAGTCAGTAGGTTACAGTGGCATATACCTATAACCCTGGTACTCAGGAAGCTCAGACAGAACTGTGAATTTGAGGCCAGCTTGGGCAACACAGTGAGATGACATCTTAAAAAGAATGGAGTGAGGCGCTGGGGATATAATTTACTGAAAGAACCCTTGCCTGGCATACACCAGGCCTTTGATTCAATCTCTAGTACCACACACACACACACACACAAAGACGCTGACTTATGACATGTTTACCTTAATAAACTCAAATAGCAGGAAACTCTGATGATTAATTCAGATTATAATTCAGCAATGTTTGCTAGGCTAAACACCATGGGGCAAATATGGGAAACAGAATGAACCCTCCCAAACAGAAGACACTTCTTTCTACTCTAGCAACAACGACAGTTCTCTTAAACAATGAGTAGATAGGCTGAGTGACTGGGAAAAGGAAGTTTTGTGAAGGCTTACAACTACTTAGCTTTGAAAAGCTTCAATATAAGCCAAGCCACCTTCAACACAAGAAATGAAAGCTGGGAGTGGTGGCATACGCCTGTAACCCCAACACTCTGGGAGGCTGAGGTAAGAGGACCCAAGTTCAAGCTGTACAATTTTGCAAAGCTAAAACTGGGTGTAACAGTGCATGCCTATAATTCTAGCACTCAGGAAGCGAAGGCAGGAGTGCAGCTGTGAGTTGGAGGCCAGTCTGAACAAGACCTACATAGTGAGGTCTCGTCTCTAAAAACAATAAAAAAAGGCCAGTGATGTAGCTTGGTGCAGAGGCTCTGAGTTCAGTCCTCAGTACCACCAAAAATGAAAACAAAACAAAACCCCCCAATAAAACAAACAAAAAAAAAGGAAATGAAAACTTGGCCACAAACACCATGGTACTTCCTTCCTCAAAACTGAATTTTTTCCTATGTCCTTTATTAACAGACATTTCTCCTAGTACAATGGTTCCTCAGTAACTTGTTAATTATTTCTCAGAGGGGCCGCAAGTACCCAAAACTACATGTACCAAATTAAGTGTTTTGGCTGGAAAGGGTTGCAAGTCACAAGGAAATCAACACCAACAACTTCTAGCTTGTGTGTCAAGTACCAAATGCATCATAATGCATCAAGTAGTGTTAAGATTTCTCTTGATCTTAAAGCAACCTTCTTTCAGTTGATCGCAGTTGTGATTCAGACCAGGGTAAGTTAAAAATGCAGCACCTAAACCTAATCACTTCCCACCTTCTGGTCTTGTCACTTATCATTCCTCTGACATCTTCTTTGTACCCTTCTGTTCCAACCATTTGTACTATTTAACTCATTTATATCTTTGGCTACAATTATGTTAGACAGCATGTTGATTAAATTTTCACTTCACAGGGGGCTGGGGATCATAAGCATTTGCCTGGCAAGTGCAAGGTTGCGAGTTCCATCCCCGGTACCACCAAAACAAAAACAAAAATAAATTTTCACTTCATTATTTTTAACTGTCACTCTCTTAAAATTACTCCCTACTCTTGTACCACACTAAATTTTGCTCGCATCCTTTTCAGAAGGCTACTTTCCAAAGAGTAAATGTTTGCACCTAACATATACCAACTATATACCACTAGACACACATTTTCTGCCTTCTTTATAGGTAATGGTACATGTCCCATACATCTTTGGATTCTATTACACTAAAAAAAATTACAATTCAAAGCAAATTACAAGTGGGAAAAAAAAATTACAAGACAAGCATGGTGACTCACACCTGTAATCCCAACTACTTGGGAGGCTGAGGTAGGAAGATCACAAATTCAAGGCCAGTCTGAGCAACTTACTGAGATCCTGTCTCAAAATAAAAAAAATAAAAAGGGCTGGGGATGCAGCCCAGTGCAAGGTCTTGGATTCAATCTTTGGTGTCACCAAAAAAAAAAAAAAAAAAAAGACAGAAAGGCTTATTTCATCTTTAGTCAAATAGTAAACAGCTCATGTGTGTAGGCTGGCAGATGGAACTGACATTTTCACTATCATGAGTGCTGAATGATGATGCCCTTAGGACCATTACATGGTGGAGGTGGTGGTTTACTGGAAATTGAACTTAGGACCTTGTGAGAGCTGTGCCACTAAATTGGATCATTACTACCTAATCTTTTTTCTTTAAAATTGAGGTGGGTTCCTGAACAATGATATAGGAATCCAAGCAGCTAAACTGATACATTTGGAATTTAATTAACTGAGCTCAGAACCACTACAATACAGACTATCCCTCTTCAGGGTCCAAACAAGTGGCCCCAACTTGAAAGTTACAGAGATTTTAAAAGAAAGAATCAGAAAGACATCTTATTGGAAACAATTTAGCTTTCCTGTTGGAAACAATTTAATTTTCGGTTGACACCTGCATCCTGCTTCTTTTGTTGAGCAGGTTAATTTTTCTCCTGTAGATACAGCTCATTCTGCTTTTCTTATGGGATTTTCCATAATTTTCCATTTTCCTGGATCAAATACAGGGCACTAGTTAAATGCAGAGTTTAACATGGCATCAGTTATGCCAAGCTAAAACAAAACTGTCTTTAAAAAACAATATACAATGATGAAGTTAAGAAAATTCCAGGCTGTACATAGTGACACATGCCTGTAATCTCAGCACTCAGGAGGCTGAGGTAGGAGGATTGCCACAAATTTGAGGCCAACCAGGATGCACAGTGAGACCCTGTATCAAAAAAAAGAAAAAGAAAATTCCAACAAACAGAAGCAGCCCTAGCACACAGAGAAAATTAAGAGGATGAAAGCAACATACTCTTTTGAAGCCATCAGAAGATGCAGAATTGAAAAAAGAGGCACCAAAAGAGAAAAGAGGCCATCAACGGGAAGGAGGGGAAATTCTCTCCCAAAAGAAACAAGATGCTGCCAGACATGGTGGTACATACCAGTAATTCCAGCACTCAAGAGGCTGAAGCAGGAAGATCACCACAAATTTAAGGCAGCGTGGACTACGTAGAGAGGACTATGTCAACGGCTAACCTGACCTACACAGTGAGACCCTACCTTAAAAAAACAAAGAAAGAAATTGAAACAAGACGGAGAAATCGTGCAGAGAGAGGTTCTAGACCGCAGTACGTAAAGCTACATAGGACAAAGTTCTAAACCCCCTAGACACTTACTGTGTTGCACTTTGTTCCACACACCACTTGCCTATGATTCAACCACTGCGATGCAAATACTTTATTAAGGGTCCCAAGCTGAAACTCTCTTTCCTTCAGGAGACTGGGAAGCTGCTGTGCTGCGTAACCATGCAACACTCGACAGTAGTTGGTCTCATTCTGTAGTCTGACTTCCCGATTCTTCAGGTAATACACTAAGGATCTCTTCACTGTGGGGAGTCTTTTCTTTTTGTGAAGTGAATGATCCCAGGCAAACTGTTAAAAGCAATATTAGAAATCAGAGCTTTGGCTGAGTGAGAGACTATAGTGTATTATGGGGAAAAAAGCAAGAATTCATCCTGCAGGATTTACATACAACAAAAAAACAACACAATAAAAATCGCAATTCAGGAAGTCCTGTTGAACTCTTCCAGCATTGAAATGATGTTACTCCTAGTGAAACCCACACTGGGAACAGAAACAGAAAAGAATAGGACTAAAGGCTTACCAGATCTCTTAGGAGTGATGGATTCACATATTTATACCTTGATTGGGAAGGGGGTGAATGAGAGGCTTGTGGGTTCCATACCCACTTAGGCTGCCTCTTTCCCTCAGCCTGTATTGCCTGCAGAGCTTACAGGCTGTGGCCCTGGGTGCCAAACAGGGGTCTCAGCTCCTCCACGGATGTACCTATTAGTACTGTGATGCACTGTTCCTCTGTTATTTTGCCAGTTGTAGAATTCAAAAACTGATACACCAACAGGAGGCACAGGAAATCAGAGTCTGAATCAAGTCAAGGCCTTTCCCTCCAAAGGAGGTGGTAGGAATGACACTGATTGTTGTTTCTTCTTGGTGTCCAGATGCCAGAAGATCCAGCTGATGGCGTTGGGTAATTTACCTCAGGCGCCATCATCGCTGTGTCTTATTCTGCCCGGCTTCCCAGTGCCTTTGGGAGGCAGACTTCCCGCTCCCTCCAAGTAACTCCTGCCTCCCATTCCCCTCGACTCCGGCTTGCCTTTTCTCCAGAGCCAAGATTCTGGCTTTTCCTCCAGTCGTATCCCTGGCTGAAGGCTTCCGGGGGAAGGTCCCATTTCTGAGTTCCCCTTCTGAGTTTCCACCCTCCAGCCTATCTGCTCTGCAATGAACTCTTGAGGAACTAAAATTACTCCATAGGCCCGACTCCCGCTTTCATCCCGCCCCTGAAGACACTGGACCCTGATTCCTTCCCGGATCGGCGAACCCTAACCCCCACCTAGTGGCTCGGCGTCAGCACCAGGACCTGGCCTCTCAGCTCTCACCTGCTGACCCTGACCGTCGCTCCCAGTTCCTGGCGAGGCAGGCGCTTTCCGCTTCCTGCTAACTGCTTTCCGGGCCATAGTGGGCAGCGCCGCCGCGACCCCGCAGCCTCATGGGGCGCGGGAAGCGAGGGGTAGTAGGACAGCGGGTCATATACTGGGCCCGGGGCCGCGCGCTTCAATGCGCCCGGCCCGGAAAATGGCCCGTATCTGGGACAGCAGTAGGAAAAAGAGAAGCAGAGGGGAAGGAGGGAGAGAGAACCAGGAAGGGGACGAAAAAGGATAAGAGGAGACAGGAACAAGCTTTCCTACTACTGACTCCGGGAAGGACGGCGAGCGGCGTGAACCAAAACACCGCTGCCCACTCGGTCCGCGTGACGTCAGCGTTGCGCAGTCGCACTCCGTAGCGCGTCGCCCTGGAGACGAAGAAGGGAGCCACAGGGGCGGGATATCGGGCTCCAAAGAGAATTCGTGACTGTTGCTCAACCGCCCAACCTCCCTTCTTCCAACGATCCTTTGACGGCCGCTGATGTTGAACGATCTGGAGCAAAAAAGGAATTCTGGCGAGTGGCTGCGGACCCTGGACCCGGATGCTCCCTGCCGCCGGCCCTGCTGGGAGAAGTCCCTCTAGTATTGTGCTCGTTCTTACCTTAGACTGGTACCTCCCGTGAAGCATCCAGCGCCTTACTTCTTCCCGGACCTATCACAAACTGTGTCCTGGGACCTAGGGTAGCCGCCTGACCGTTACCAAGATGGGATCTGGCTCAGAAACCACAGCAGCATAGTCAGACTTTTCCCATACGGAGAACTGGGCAGACACAAGAAACAAGCCGACCCGGACCCCAGGGAAGCACTTAGGCTCCGTTCTGCCCTGTCTTTGCCCACACTCCGTCGCCCCTTCCTTGTTCCTGTCGCTAGGAACCAGGACGGTCCCTCAGTCTTTTTTCCCCTTACCGTGACACTTAATGCATCCTAGCGAAGTGCTTTATCTCTAAGCTTCACCTGGTTACCCATAGTCAAAGGAAGCCGGGTGCGCTTGCTTGGGACTGTGGTCCCCAGTTACCTGCTGGTTCCTTCAGGCTTCGGGCCTCAAGCCTCATACCTCCAGGGAGTTCCGCTGGCCCATCTGAAATTGTGCTTACGTGGATATTTGAATTTGTTTTCCAGTCACCAAAGACCACCTTAAGACAGGGTCCTCCACCATTCCGGTTTAGCTGCCATTAACCCCTAATGACACCTTGAGAAAGGCAGCCCCATCTTTCTTGGTTATGTAAATTAGTAAGGCAAAATGGAACTTTTAGGTTTTGGGTTTTTTTCCTTTAGAGGCAAGTGGTTTCTCCACACTTCCCCAGATTTAAGGTAGAAATGGCTGTCGCCAGGTCTCCTCAGCCCAGATTTATGGACAGAATATGCAGATCTGGCAACAGGAGGACAGTCCAATTTCATTCCCTTGGGCAAGGGATGGAGAGGTCCAGGATCTAAGAAGGAATGAAACAAGGGTGAATAGATCTATTGTTTCATTGTGCTGCCTATCCCCACCATTCCTTGCTATAAAAGACCCCAATACATTGTATACCAAGAGATGCTGATTTGAGGCAAGTGGTTCCTTTCATCTCAGAGCTAGCTTCTGTGTTGGTTTTTATTTTTTGTTGTTTTTTGAGACAGGATCTCACTATGTACATGCTGGCCTTGAACTCACTATGTAGCCCAGGCTGCCCTTGAATTCATGTTGACCCTCCTGCCTCAGCCTTCTGAGTGCTAGGATTACAGGCAAGCACTAGCATGCTTGGCTACAGAACTAACTTAAAATAATTTGTTTTTTCTTTTTACCAAAATGCGTGGCCTTCTTTGACTTGGTCAGCAGCAAGCAAACAAACCTGAACGTAAGTGGGCAGTAGTAACAGGCCTGTCTCTTCAGAGACATGTACAGTGAATGGGTTAGGAGTAAGTAAATTTCTTTTTTTGAGTCTGTTCTGATTGTCTTGCCTCACAATGGTTTGGATGACCCACAAACTCATTGGGGAAGAAGAGCCTGAGATCCTTTGAGAATCTCTAGGTTTAGAATGGGCTGATCTTGACTCCTGCTCTCTTCTGCCATATCAGAAGACCACACTGGACACTTGTAGGCTTCCCCCATCTCCTTACCATGTTACTCAAGCTGGCCTGAAACTTTTGGGCTAGAGATACAGCTCAGTGGCCAGCATCTGTCTGGCAAGCTTGAGATCCCAAGTTCAATTCTTGGTACCAAAAAACGAACACAAAAACAAAAAAAAAAAGCAGTTTTCAATCCTCCAGCCTTAGCTTGGATTCCAGGCATGTACTATCATACCTAATTTAGAGGCCCATTCTCAAATTTGGTTTTATTTCATCCTGACATACTAGTAATCATCCCCAAATACCTCACAGCAGAGCTCACCATTTCTTTTTTTTGGAGGGGGGGACTGGGGATGGAACTCACCACCAACGTCCCTAAATTGCCCAAATTAGACTCAGATTTGTGATTTTTTTTTTTTTTAAGATACTGGAGATTGAGCTCAGGCTGGGCTCCCACTTGTGATGCTCTTGCCTAAGTCTTCTGGTTAGCTGGATTACAGGTGAGTGCTACCATCGGTGGCACCAGGATTGTTTTTATTTATTTATTTATTTTGGTGCTGGGAATTGAACTCATGACCAGCTCACCAGGCAGGTGCTTATGCCACTGAACTAAATCCCCAGCCCCAGGATTGTTTTTAAAAGACTGATAATATTAAGAGTTGGTGAGAAGGGGGCTGGGGATTGAGCTCAGCAGCATAAGCACCTGCCTTGCAAGCCGGCAGTCATGAGTTTGATCCCCGGTACCAATAAAAAGGAAAAAGACAAAAAAAAAATTGGTGAGCAGACAAAAAAGACTAGAACTCTCATACTTTGCTAATGGCATGCAATTTAGTACAACAAACTTAGAAAAATCTTGACATTTACCTATTAAAGCTAAACGTGTACTTTTTTTTTTTTTTTTCAATATTGGGGATAGATCTGATGGTCTACTATTGAACTCTTGGCTTTTTTTTTTTTTGGTACCGGGAATCGAACTCACGCTTGCCAGGCAGGTGCCTGTGCCACTGAGCCAAATCCCCAGCCCCATTTTTTTTTTTTTTTTTTTGTCTCTTTGAGATGGGGTCTTTCTATGCAGCAGAGGCTGGCCTTGAGCTCACTTTGTAGCCCAGGCTACTCTCAAACTTGCAACCATCCTCCTGCCTTAGCCTCCCAAATGCTGGGCTTACAGGCATGTGCCACCACACCTGGCTCAACTATTGAACTCTTCCACTGAGCAACACCTCTGACCTTAAATATGTACACCCTTTGATAATAGCATTTCCACTTCTGCATTATCATCTAAAAGAAATAAGGGTTTACATCCACAAAAGACCTGGACAAGAATAGTTACAGAAAGTTTATTCATAATAGCTCCAAATTGAAAATAGTCATGTTAATCAATAGGAAGAAAGATCAATTGTGGTATATTTGCACAATGGAATATTACATAGCAGTGCCATTCATGAATACTATGAATTTTATAGTGTTAGTTAAAAAACTCAAACACAAAGCAATAATTTTTTAATAAATGTAGGGAACTGGGAAGATAATCCCATGGTAAATTGCCTGCCTGATATATATGAGGCTTTAGGTTCAATCCCTAGTAACACATGCACACACACATACACAAATACACAAATTCTTAGGCCTGGCCTTTATGAGCCTGGGTTGTCTGCTTCCTACTTTGATTTCATCCATGGCTTATATAATTTTTCTTCCTTGTCAGCTTTGGCTCCCATAGCTGTCTTTCAGTCCATCCTGACCCAAACGCTCCTTCCTGCCATACCATTGCTTTAGCATGGTACTGTCTTTCTGACCCTGTGCTCTTGCAATATCCTGTTATCCTTTAGCTCAAGGTGAATACTGTGTACTCAGAAAAGTGATCCCTAACCTCTCTAATTCTCCTATAATATTTGTTTTCATAGAACTGTATTTTTCTCCTTAGTGGCACCTTTCATGATTAGAATTTTACACTAAATTTGTATGATTATTTAATTAACACTTACCTTCCCTTCTAGAATGTAAATCCTTTGAAAATAGATACATGGCTATTTATGTTCCCATTGTATCTTTAGTGTCTAATCAACTAAATCATTGAATAAAATCCCCAAATCGTGAGTTCGATCCCTGGTACCGATAAAAAGGAAAAAGACAAAAAAAAAAAAAAAAAAAAGAAAAAGAAAATCCCCAAATCCCTGTGTCTGGGAAGGTACCTACTTTATTTTACACATTCCCCGTCGCAACCTGTGCAGCTACAGGTGTTTCGGGGGGGGGGCGGTGGTGAGAGGGTGAGAAAAATGAAGAGATGAAAGCTGGCGTCAGGTGGAGGAAGGTCTTTTTTTTTTTTTTAGTCTTTTTCATTTTTTATCGGTACGAGGGATCGAACTCACGACTGCCTGCTTGCAAGGCAGGCGCTTTTGCCGTTGAGCTAAATCCCCAGCCCCTAGGAAGGTCTTATTCTCCTGGTGGAAGGTAAGGACCTGCCCCCACCTTTTATGTTTACATTTAACAACTCAAGGTCATAGGACACCCATTGCCAAGGAAGTAACACACATGTACGGCAACCAAAGCGTCTAAATTTTGGGGCCCAGAGTCCCTTGTTTCTGCAGGTAAGGACCTGCCCCCACCTTTTATGTTTACATTTAACAACTCAAGGTCATAGGACACCCATTGCCAAGGAAGTAACACACATGTACGGCAACCAAAGCGTCTAAATTTTGGGGCCCAGAGTCCCTTGTTTCTGCAGCTTGCCCCAGACGGTCTTTATTCTCTGATCTGGCTGGTTGGCTCCCACAGTTGTGGTGGATTTCCAGCCTCAAGGATCCCAACAATTCCCTAAATGTAGAATGGCTGGGGATTGAGATCAATGTACGTTTTACAAAGTTCTGTCAGTATTTATTTTTTATTTTTTGAGACAGTCTTGCTTATGTAGCCCAGGCTGGCCTCGAACTCACAGTGATCCTCTTGGCTCAGGGAGTGCTAGGATGATAGTGGAGAGCCACCACAACCTGTTTTAAATATGTTAACAGGAAGATTCACCTGGGCAGAATGGCACATTTGTAATCCCAGCACTCTGGGAAGCCAAAGCAGGAAGATCACAAGTTTGGGTACTGCCTGGTTTTTTTTGTTTGTTTGTTTGTTTTTGTCTTTTTCCTTTTCATCGGTACCGGGGATCGAACTCACCACTGCCTGCTTGCAAGGCAGGCGCTTATGCCGCTGAGCTAAATCCCTAGCCCCAAA